AAGATAAAAACAAACGAAACAAAGTTCGAATATGTTGGTGCGTGTGCGTGTGTGGGTGTATATATGTATAAATATTTTCGTTTAACCAACAATTCCACATTGATGCCCGACATCACGATGTGCAGCAACATGGAGGATGTAAAGGATCGGTTAAGATACACATTTCGTCTAATTCGTGAAGTCAAAAGAAAGCGTAAGGAATGCAAATCGACCAACGGAATGGACGTTCGCAAGTTGAAGACGGTGGATATCGACATCAGACAGATGGAGTTTCTGTTCGAAGAAATAATAAGACTTCTCCGTTCGTGCGTCAAAGTTATCAACTACTGTACGGACGAATGGACAGGCGCACAGTGGCAGATCGATGCTTTCGAACGCATCGCGAACTACGTCGGAGAATTCGTCGAAGTCGAAACGAAATGCAGCTTGATCATGGACGAACTTTTAGGAAAACGTAAAGAGGAACTGTCTTCGGGAGGTGTCTGCAAGGTGTGTTTTCTCCGAGTTGCCGAGGTGGTGACGACGCCTTGTTATCATTACGTTTCCTGCAAAAGATGCTCTTACCGACTTGGAAGTTGCCCGGTGTGCCGGACGACAACGGAAAGACGTCTGTCGATCGGAGATATCGAAGAGGGTACGCGTGTGTACAGATGTTGAACAAAAATTCGTTAAAATATATAATAAATTATCGTTAATAGAATAATAAAGAATGCATGAAACAGAAAATATGTTTTGTGTGTTTTTACTTTTTATTTTCTCCATTATCCGGAGAACCGATCGATCATGACGAAACATCGGTCCATCTTCACCCAACTGACGACCTCGCAATCGGCGGCGTCCCTCCAAACTTCGTCGTCGCATTTATCATCTCGTTTCAGCAAGGAAACAGTCGACCGTCGGTCGGTGTCCAATCGGAGAGGAAACGATAGGGTCAACGCTTCCTCGAAAGACGATCCCGGAGGACCGCACCCGACGACGGACGGGACCGACGTGTCTCGTTCCTTTTTCGATCTCCAATCGCGCCCCTTCGTCCACATAGACGTATATCTCCTTCGTGGTTCTCGGAGGGATCGCTCCTTTCGGAATATACTGATCGATCCCGGCGCCGACGATGGACAGACGACCGCCACGGGCGTCGAATATCCCGGCCGAAAAGGTGGACGTTTCGAAACTCTTTCCCACAACTTCTCCAAGACTGCACATAGATACCTTTCTGTCCAAAGTTCGGAGCATCGAATCCAAATCCTTTCGGCATTCGTCGTCGTCGTCATTGTCAACATAACGTTCTGAAATAAACAAACGTACAAAATATTTTTTTTTTTTTTAAACTTTGTCACTTTTATTTCATTTCTGTCTCCGTTATAACAACAACAACATGTACTTTATTTAATTCTGAGTGGTAGGGATACCTCTGGAAGTTTCGTTGGCACGAACGAGGGTCATGAAACTCTGACTCCTGGAGATCTGTTCGACAGTCAGTTTGGTCCAAGACAGGTTGTCGAAGAGCTTGCCGACTTGCGCGACAACTTTGTTCCCCCTTCTCAGGATGGCGGCGACCGGTGTGTCGTCCTTATCCAAGTATACCTCCCTGTTCAGATCCGGCACGAGACATTGCAGATGTACGCCGTTGCGTAACTGGAGCGTGGTGCTTCCCTTCAGCTGGCACAACTCGCGTCCAAACGCACCTTCTTCGAACGTGTGATCGACGTACAAGTACAGCTTGTATTCGACGTCGACACCGTCTTCGAGAGTAAAATACGAGGAGATCGAAGATGACCAGTCGGTAAATCTCTCCACGTCTTCGTCGATGATAGATACTTCGTACCCTCCGTGTATGTCGCGGAGGGTCAGGCGCATTCGACGTTCGCTGCTTTCGGTAGTCGACATTCTCGAATAGTTATCTTCACCGTTTCAGCTTCGATCGCGTTATAAGAGAAGGTATCGATAACGGACGCTTTATGAACCTTTTTTGTATCTATCAGAGCACGGTACAGGCGCACGCGTCCGTTGCGTCCATGTCGACGACTCCGAGTTCGAGATCTCCGGGCAGAGTGCGTCGGTCGACGAAGCGAGGAACGTTGTCACCGACGACCTCCTCGACGCCACGCCGCAATCTCTGCCGCCTTATCCTGTTCTCGTCCATTCGGATGTCGTCTTCCACTTCCCTGTCGTCGTGCGCACCGGAGAAGAGAGGAAACACGTTGATCACCTTGTCCCTGTCCGGTTAGTGGAGCACGGTCGACTCGGACACGCACGGTGGCAGCTTGGTTCCGTTGGAGCGCAACCTCTTCCACAAGCTCGGTTGGAAGACGTCGGCGTCGGCCGGGAACGCCGAGTTTCGTTCGCCGACCTCCGTCAGAAGCCGCAGCGGACGGATCACCGACGAACCCAAGCACTTCGCGTAACTGCAAAATACGAACCAGTTCCTCAACGGGTTGCGCGGATCGTCGACAACCTCGTTGACGAAACTTCGAACGTCCGCGTCCGCAAGCTCGAAGTCGAGAACCGGGTCGTTCGATCCCCGCTCGTTCGTAGACGTCGTCGTAGTTGCCAGCAAGAGTTTTTCCGCCTTGACCGCCAGATCTTCGATCGTATCTCTCAGAGTCTCCAACGAGAAGATGGCTGTGAACAGATCGGCGTGCAGCCATTCGATACGCCCGTCCGGGTGCCGCGAGAACCTGGGACGAGACCCAAGCTGCACGTTTCCTCCCACTCCCAGATGATCGAGACAGGTCTCTATCATGCCGGCGATCGACTGCAACGACGTCGACGACCGGGACTCCGCTACGTCGTTGCCGTTGTGACTGGCGCACGCGATTCTCAGTATGCGCATCAGAAGTTCGAAGTAGGGGTTGTCTGAACCGTAACACCTTCCGTCGAAATGCCACTGAAGGTGAGAGGGGAATCGTTCGAATTTGCTCGACCAAAGAATATGCGCCAGTCGTGCATGGAATCGAGGGTCAGAAACAGCGGCATGAATTCTGTAAAGTCCTCGATTCTCGCCATCAACAATCGACCGTTGCGAGTTCTTCGTCCGGGACCGCGACCGTCGTCGTCGTTGTTATCGTCGTCGTCGTCTTCGTCGTCCGCGTAGCTCCTCGAGTCCACGACGAGCTATCCGGACCACCTGACTTCCGCGGCTGGTTGGGGAAGACCCAATTTCAGAACGGGCAGCTTCTTGAACATGTCCATCGTCGTGCTCACTCTTAATCTTTCACACTTTACTCACTCACTCACTCAAAATAAATTCTATTACGATAAAGAAAGTAACGTAAACAAGTGTTTTCTTTTTTTCATATTTTACAAACATTTATTTCGATTTTTTTATCCAAAAATCATTGAAATAATAAAAAAAAAATTATTTATTCTTCGAGGTCGTCCTCGATCCCGTCTTGCGCGACAGCAAAGTTTCCAGTTGGTTCGCCACTTTGGAGATTCCGTCGACGTCCTCCTTCCCGTCCAGTATTTTCAGGATCCGACGGACGTGCTCCACCGGCATCCTCACAATTTTTCGGACGTCCCTTTTCTAGACATATCTCAGCATCTCCGAGTGCCGTTCTTCGATGAAACAACAAGACGTCGTATCTTATTGCTAGACGAAATCTGCAGCTTTGTCTACTGGCGTTTCTGCCATTCCTCGTTAATGAACGATTGTTACTTGGTGATGTAACGCTTCCGTTTGCAACCCGATCTGTTGCAGCGCGTCGAACGGTTGATCGGGTCGATCTCCTTCAGTCGGGAATCCTTTAGCGGTCTTCCGAAGAGCAGCTCGCGTTCAACGCAGAGTTTGCAGAGGTCGGAATCGAAGTCGTCCACGTGTCTGAGAACGGTGTCCAAAAACGTTCGTCCGGTACGTCGGAGGGATTCCGGCGTTTGAAACTGAGTGTTGCAGCAGAACGACGGAGAGAATAGCTGAAATTTGCGGGGGCGATCG